GGGGGGGGGGGGTTCACCGCGCTTTGCACTGCCGAGTATTAATTTTCGAGCCCAGAGGTGCAGCAGCTGCCGCAAACATTCGAGAATCGACCCCTGCAGGCGGCAGGCCCAACCCAATTTCGAGTGCCGCGGCGTGCAGATCTCGCATCTTGCTGGGGCCCGCGTCGCTACTGCACGGCACTGCACTGTCTTGTGCGCCTGCGCCCGCGCCCGCGCCCGCCCACCGCCCAACGCCCAAGACGCAAAGCCCGATGCCGCACCATTGTCTGCAGGAGGAAATGAAGCGCTCGCTCGCAGCTTCTGTGCAGTAGTTGCACCACCTGCAGAAAATTTAGCGATGCCTGATACTGTGACTGCATTTGTGCACACGCAAGGAGTTTTCGAAGAGTCAGACCAGCTTTCCTACGGAAGGAAGACACCTGACACTTCGGATGCAGTGACCCCAATCACAGTATTGTGTCCTCGCTCGAGGGGAAGCGATGCGTACAATCTTCTTTTCTCTGGCAGAGAGGTTCGCCGGCGCCTGCCTGCGCTCTATTTTCAGCCTCCGAACTGTCCAAGCAGTCACGCGCGCCGACTCACCGTAAATTTGCGTCACGCGGTGACGTCGATGCGTACGCTTTGCGACTTTTGGGGAAAAAAATAGAAGGGTGTGAGACGAGCAAACAGAAAATCCTGGGTTCTTTTGCGCATGAAAGTTGGGCTTGTGGACCGCGGTGCGACAGAAAGGTCGCCTTGCCTCGCTTACTGGATGGGCGATCACGCTCTTCCTCGTGCCCATTTAGACCAGGTCCACCAAAGCACGAGGGCGCAGCACTCTTCGCTCGACTAGTGTACTCGTATTCGGCCTTGGCGGCTACAGGGACAGGGGTTCGGCGCTTGGCTTTGCCCGCGTCATCCCCGTCCGAAGTCCGAGCGTCGCACCGGATCTATTGTGAGGAGCGCCAGCACTGTCAGGCGAACCTGAACGCTCTTGTCGAGCATGGGAGGTACGCTCGAGTTTGTGGTGCGGCGTTTCAATTGAAAGGAATCAGAACATTCTTGTTTCAGTTATACGAGGTCTTCTTCCTGTTCTGCCAAAGAAGCATGCAAAGCGCAAAGCGGCGAGCCGAAAGCCGAGTTCAGGCCTAGACTCGCTGCGCTGCTGCATTGACGAGCTTCGCTAGTCTAGTGATGATGCAGCTTCAGACCAGTCCATTGTACCTTCCGAAGCTGGAACGCAATCGCTCAAATCTCCGACTCGGATGCCCACCACCAGAGCTGAGTACGGCTCAATGTGTGCCGTCATGCCTCGGTCGGAACGGTCGACGGCCCCTCAGCCGGCTTCATTGTCATTGCAGCGCTCAAATTTTGTCTCAGCTCCGGAGTTCGTTTCAGCCGGTGCCATTCGGTGCTCTTGGCACGGCAGCCTTTAGGCATACTCTTGTCTCAAAATCCGTCGGCTTTCGGGTCAGAAAACAGCGGGGGACGACAAGGTGGACGTGGATCGGAGCCTCGGCTTGAACATTTCCGGTGTCCCTGCATACCTCTCGATCCGTTTTCCCACCAGGCCCTCGTCTATGAAGCGAAGCGCCACTCTGTCTTACAAGGCGAGGTAAGGCCGACAGCTTTAGCTAGTATGGCATCCGAGACCATTGGAAGACGGTTTACAATCAGCATCCTTTCCCCGTCGCGTCGAGATAAGCGCAACAATGATAGAGTACTGTGATGATGTTTTCAACACACAAAGACTGGGTCTCGGCGGAGTATCTGATTGATCCTGGTGAGCTTTCCCGTGTTTCAGTGATCCATATGAGCTGCAGAAGCGTTCACACGGTCCCGAGTTTCGGCCATCGAAGCGCTCTCACTGATGAAAGCGACGACGCGCGAGCTTGCTGTCGGAGCCGACGCCAAGCATGCATCACGATGTTCGCGCGAATCTTGTGTGAATCGTTTGTCATTGCGGCTAGTGCTAAGATCTGGACGACCTGGAAACGCCAGCCTCAGCGGATGGCCGCATCTCGGTTCTGCACCTGTGCATGTCGCTAGTCGATATCCGCATGCCATCAGAGTTTCGTGTGCCGCAAGCCGACTTGGCGCATGCTCGCACAGGGGCCTGATCGCTTCGCTATACAGATTGGGAAGCTTGTCATAGTTGGCGCGATGGCTACTTACAATCATGCGGGCTCGCGCCCAAGATGACGCACACTGTTGGAAGCGCTTGGGCGACGTGACGATAGCCAAACGCCCATCTCGGCCAATGACAGCCGCTGCAGGGGCGAGGCAAGCCTGTGCTGGATTCCGACGACCATCCGCCCAGATCGCCAGTAGCCGAAGGCAGGCAGATGGACGCCTTCTAACCTAACAGCCTTTGGCGGAAACCACCGGCACTCGGAAGAGGGAGGGAAATGGACTCTCTCATTCCGTTTAGCCGAGGGTAAGAAGACTGTTTGGAAGGTGACGAAAGAGAATTGGCAAGCGAGAGGTCGGACGCTGCAGTGCCGATCCTAATGAATCTTGCGACTGCCGGTCAGCGCGAAAACTGGATGGCTAACTCACGAGCTTGCCCGCTGCACTCGAGCTGCCGACGAGCGCCAACTCAAGACAGTACAGAAAGATCCAGGAAAAGAAAACTGCAGCTGCACGCCGTCTAGCATCACACGGCAGTACAAACAGATCCGCAGCAGCCTGCACAATAGCAGAAGTCGGCGTCCGTGGGCGGTCTGTGCTGATTGCAGTCTCCAACTCATGCAGTGCGGTAACAGGGCCAGGCCGCGCCCCGCGGAATAAGATGTCGGCCACGGCCACGGCCCCGCTGCCGCCAACACCGCCCAGCCGACGGGAATAGCAATCTGTTTTTCATTCTCTTCTCCGGCATCCTCGCCTGTCTCGGACTCGACCGATACGCACAAGCAGCAGCCGAAATCGAGTATTGAGCAGGATCCCTGCCGACCCGAGAGGAAGGTAGGCGCACACCTCCTCGCATGCTTCGGGAAAGCCACACGGCTTCCGTCGCTGAGCCACATTGCATCGCGCTCGCTTGACGCAAGCGATCCGGCCGGCGTGCTCATCACCAGGTCCCTGCCTCGGGAAACCCGGTGCCCAAAAATAAAATTAAATACTAACTTTTAGAAAAAACAGTCCTCGCGATCCACTCAGCTTGCATCACAATGGCCACGGAAAGGCCGCACCATCTGAAAGCGGCCTGATGGCCTCTGAGACAAGTGGGATCGTTTGCCTACCGGCCGTCGATCCGGCCGCTGTGCTCCGCAAGCCGTGTCTCCACTGGCAAGCTATCGAAAGCACAGAGTTGCGATTGTGTCACAGCATGGCGGCAACAGGCGTGTAGCCTGTGCTTGTTTCCCGGTTGGCTTTGCCGAGTTGCTGATTCGGATGGCCGGTGTCGCCTACCCACGGTCTAGCGCCTTGTTGGCTATCGGTTCTATCTGATGAGCTGTTTCAACTTCATCTCCGTTGGCACCTCGTTTGGTGCAACGCAGCCTGGTGCAGTACGGCTACGGTGTTCGGACCTGCCTCAGGACAGGACGCAGCCGCCGTGGAACCGGATACGCTATCCGCGCAGGGTTCGGGTCTCACACAGCAGGTTTCGACATTTTGCAGCGGCCAAGACGTTCGTTCCTACCGCAATTTTTAGGGCACTGCTCTGCGCTCCCGCCGCATCGGCTCTTTCTATGCCTCACGTCCACGCCCATCACGCCGCACCCCCGCCGTCCTCGCCTAGCTGGCCTGCCTGCCGTACCTGGTGGGACTGCATCGTGTGCCCGCTGCCACGACTAGGTCCATATATTCAACAGCCTCATTCCACCATCCTCCCTTCTCCATCCCTGTCTCCCTCTCCCTCTTCCTCTCCATCCCCATCCGTCATTCGCAACTCGCTTGCCTCCTTCTATCTACCCCTGCCATTGCATCCAGCGATCGCAGCCTCTTCGGACAAGAATCTGTTCTCACGCTGAACGGACCCTCCTCCGAGCACAACCTCGCACTCAGCGGAAGCTCAGCTACGCGAGGCTCGACTCGGACTGCCACAAAGTCTCTCTCGGCACCGCCCGCAAGCAGACGCAAACCACCTCGTTCGCACGTCGTCGCGTCATCGCAGCAGCGTGATCACCATGGCTCCTCAAATCCTCACCTCGATCTACCCGCCTCTGCCCAAGGCAAGCTACTCGAATATCTTCGACTATGTCAGCTCCGAATCCGAGTCGTCGCTCGCCGACAAGGTGCAGTTCGTTCGCCAGGACGGCAAACAGTTCACGTAAGTACATGCTTCGCTTCAGGACTCGCTTTCGATGTGGCTCGGTGGTCTCTTGTTTTCGTGGTCCATCGGTTTCTCGCTCTCCTTCATCCACACCCGCTCATGGCGCTTGCTTTGCACCGTCGATGAAAGGCTTTGTGCCGCTTGTTGCTATGGTGCGTTGCAGCCCACGCATTGGACGGTGCGATGGCCGTTGGGCCTAGATCGCACGCACGCAACCGTGGTCTTGGTCACTGATACGGCCAGAGATTCTCGAGTCGGGGTTAGCACCCTGACTTTGTCGGAATCACGACCATACTGGCTGCGCCTTTGCCCCACGGCGTTCAGTGTATCGGACTGCGAATCGCGCGGCTCGATGACGGGCACAATGGGCACAGGGGTGCGAGGCGACTAGCCTCGCCAGAGGGACTCTTTGCACCGCATCCTCCACAACCGCTTTGCCTTGAGCAGGCGGTGGATAGGAAGGAATGCGGGCGGCGGCGGACCTTGAATATCCCGTCTGACGAGGGGATTTTCACAAATTCAACCTCAGCCCAAGATCGTTGCCGGCTGCCTTCGCAGCTCTCATCGAGCCTTGGTCTTTCGAGCATTGCTTCTTGCGACGCCAGTGCCGCTCGCTGTATCTGCAACTGCATCTTCTGTATGCCATCGTGGCCACGAGCCGTGGCGGAACCCTGTTGGATGCTGGTCTACCTACGGCAGCCAACCGGCGCCAAACATGCAGGGACGGCTCGTGCCAACCTCGCATGCAGGGAGGCAGCAGCCGTCCAGCGTGAAGATCACTTGTCAGTGCTCCAGATCGGCATGGGCGCTCCAACGGCGGGAGGACATTACAGGCTCCCGCCAGACGGGCAGCTCAGATCGTGGGAAGGGATACCTCACTTTGGCCCGCCAGCCGCTCGAGGCAGTCCAAGCCCTGGCAAGGCAGAGCAGAGCAGCGAGCGCGCCTGTACACGGCAAAGTCGAATCGGGCTTTTTTTCGCGAATTTCTTTTCCCGGCAATTTTCCCACCGCCTCTCCTCTGGCATGTGGGACGCTGCGTTCCAAGCCACAGAGAGAGAGAGAGAGAG